GCTCCCGCCCCCGCCCTACTCCCCACGCCCCCCCAAGCTCCCGCGGGATCCCCTGTCCCCTGCTTCTCAGTCCCGGTCCTCCCCGAGGGTTGCACGCCGATGAGGGAGGGGCTTCGCTCAACCTCCAATAAAACCCATCCCTGGGGCCAGCCACCTTGTGGCTTCCAGCTGGGGAGGAGGCGCCACTCGCTGGCCCCTTCTGCCCCAGGTAAGGGCCCTCCTCCCCTCCTCCTCCCGCCTGCCGGGGCCACAGCCTCACAAACTAGATGCACAATAAATAAAGCCCACGACCCACCCCTCCGTGCAATGTTGGGTTGACTGACTTTCAGACGATCCTGACCTGTGCTTTGTGTTTTCAGACAGTTGAGAGAGAGAGGGAGGGAGAGAGAGAGGGCGACATGGAGAGAGAGAGAGGCACAAGGACTGGAGAAGGGGCCCAGAAGGGAGATGCAGGCAGGAGGGAGTAAGGCACAGAAAGACAAGCCAGAGGGGCCAAGTCACACCCTGCAGGGGGTTGGGCGTGCTCTTGCTCCCCTCCCTCCCAGGGGGCTTCTGAAGACCCTCTGGACAGGCCCCCAACCCTCCCTTTGGGGAGGTGGGGGCTGCGGGGTGGGGGTGGGGGGGAGATCTACTTCCTGTGGTGTGTTACCAAATTGTTCCCAAGTTGCTCAAATGGAGGAGTTCTCAATTCCAACAGTGAAAGACCCAAACAATGAATGTCCCCCCCCAAATAAAGAGTACAGACTTGACAGCTGAGATCCAGAGAGAAGTGGCCACGGGGTGGGCAGGGTGGTGGGGAAAGTGGAGGGGGACAGAGAAAGCTCCAAAACACTTGTGAGAAAGGACAACACCCAACACCCTCCAAAGGAACTGAAAGTCGGCGAGCAGGACGCCTACCTACTGCAGGTGGCGGCCTAGCCCATGGCAGCAGCTGCCTCGTCCTCCTCGCTCGGCTCCGGGGTCCCCTTTCTGCTCCACTCTCCGGCCCGGCCACAGCAGGGCTGTCTGCGTGAGGGGCAGGGGCACGGACCGATGGGGCGGAGTGAGGGCACCTGCATGCAGGGCTGGGGTGTGAGGGTGACCTGGGGCCCACCTGCCCCCACTCGTGGCGTGGCAGGAGGGCGACCTTCCCAGCCTGGCTGCAGACAGAAGGAAGAGGAGGTCTGTCCCAGGCTGGGACAGGCCGTCGAGAGCACTCGACTCTTTCCTATGGACTGTACAGGAGTCTGGGGCCCCAGGAACTGCCCCTGCGGCTCACGGTGGGGTGGCACAACACCCTCCATTCCAGGAGCACGGAACCAGCTCCAGGGGACGCCCCCTGCCCACCCGGGGGGCTTCTAGCCCAAGGGTGGGGCAGGGGGATGTGGAGGCCACTGTGCCTTGCCCGGTCCAGAGCAGCTGAGGAAGAAGCCAGAGGCAAGGCAGTGAGGGAGGAAGAGGGTGGAGGCTGGAGAGGACAGCCCTCTGGATCAGCACCCCGTCACCTTCACGAGCTGGTCCTCCGAGCTCCCTGGTGAAGCCGCAGCCCTAGCTGAGGGTGGGGGTCCCCTAGGAAGGGTGAGGGTGGGGGACAGCCCCTTCAGAACTGTGCTGGTTGCTTTGTTTGGGGATTTCGTTCCTTTCCCAGAAGGCCAGGAAGGGATGGGGGAGGAAGGCAGTTCTGCTGCATCCTTCCTTTCTTTCTGTCCTGGGCTTGACAGAGTCCGTTTTGCATGTTTCTTTCTGCTTGGCTGCCGGTGCACAGCTCCACCGAGACCTCTGCCGAGGCGAGGGCTCTCCGAGAACTGGGCTGCTTGGGGGCCTGCAGGGCCCCGGGCTGGAGGAGAGAAGGGCTGAGTGGCTGACGACGTCTAAGTTTTGCTTTTCGGTGGGGCTGGGCTGGGCTGGGGGATTTTTCCACGTCTCAAAATTTCTTCTCCCCCCGTTTGAGGAACCTCTTCTTTTCATTTTGTCATTCCTTTTGTTGATCTTATCAGAGGAACCAGGACTGAAACGGGACAAAACAGAGGTGATGCTGAGCACCGCAGGGGCAGGCCCCTCCCCTTGCACCCGGCCCTGTGGCTGCAGGCCGGTGCCCGAGGCCCCTGGAGGCCCGCTCCAGCGGAGCCAAGGACACCAACACCCCACACCGAGGTTCACGCCCGTCCTGTCAGTCCCTCCTCTGGGACTTCTGCCCCCAGAGCCAGAGCCCAGCTGGCCTTCTCACGGGCACCGTGCCAGCGGGTGGGACCCCGCGGCTGGCGCTGGCACAGGCACAGACCTGGGATCTGGCCATGTTTCCAATTGTGGAGGTTTTGTGTGGGTCCTGGAGGGTGGGGAGGAGGCAGGCTGGAGCTTTTGTCCCAGAGGAGTTTGGAGAGTGGGGTGGGGGTGGTCCAGCTTCTTGCTGAGATTTCTTTCTGTCTCTTTGGATTAAAAGCAGAAATTCCTGTCTGCACACCCCAGCCACGGTCCCACAGGCTGAAAGGCTGGGAAGGGGGACACAGCACATGGCTTCAGTCCCTAGCAGTGCCAGGCCTGGGGGAGGGGCCTGCAGCCCACGGAGTTTGATCCTCTACCCTGAGGGCACCAGGCCCTGGGGAAGGACCAGAGGCTCCCTGGGGCTGGTGTCCCGTTCCTCAGGGTGCCAGCAGGGGGCGCTGCCTCCCCACAAACGGGCCTTGGCGACCACTCAGCACAAAACACACCCAGGGTGGACCCCTAGGACTGGGCTCCCTGGCAACGCCCTCCACCAAAGGCTCTGGCCCACCTCGTCGTCCTCTATGGTCTACAGTGCCAGGGTACACCTGGTGGTACCCTTGGGGGCAAAATGGGGGTCCCTGAAAATGCATCTTGGGGCCTCTCCCAGGCTCTGGGTCACAGACTCCAACCTGCAGGGGCCAAGCAGAGCTAACGAAAGAGGCTGTGCTGGGTACAGCCTCATTCTGCCCTTGCTGCTGCCCCCTCCTCCCCACAGGAACCGTGGAAAGAGAGGGCGGGGAGCTACCCCAGGCCATGTAGCCGTGGGCCTCAGACGCATGGGCAGCTCCGTGGGGCGTGCTCCCAGGGAGGGAGGGTCTGTGGTGGCCAGGACGCCCGCCCCCGCCTAGGGCCAAGGCTGCCACCTTGGGATGAGGGCCTGGGGTGTTCAGATCAGCCAGCGTTTCCAAAGAAGCCAAAGTCCAGACAGAATTTCATGTGAAAATTTCCAATATTTAAAACCCTTGTTTCGGACACACAGATTATGCCTGCAGGACGGACCTACCCCTCAGACTCTGGTTTGGGACCATGGGCTGTCAACCACTGTGAGATGGAGACTTTGAATTTCAGAGTTAGAAAGGGCCTTGGAGATCATCTAGAACTTTCTGAGACAATGGAAATGTCCCCTATTTGCACTGTCCAATGTGGTAGCCGCTAGCCACGTGTGGCTTCTAAGCACCTGAAACGTGGCTAGTGTGACGGAGGGACTAAATCTTTCTCCAGATAGTTATTTAACTTATTTGTAAGCAGCCACACGTGGCCAGTGGCTACCCCAGTGAATGGTG